TTCTCTCCAGGCCTCCAACAGGCTGCTGATCAGGCCCCATTGAGAGATGCTGACTGGCATAGAAACTGACCAATCAAAACCAAATCTGGGTCAACTTTGAGGAGCTGATGTCTGCCTAGGAGGTGGAGCTTTTGACACTGACTGACAGAAATTGACCAATCAGAACCAAATTGGCCGGCAGAGGAGGGCAGTTGGGGGTGCTCAGGCAGGCAGGCAGAGAGGTTAAGGGCAATTTAGGCAAGTGAGTGGTTAGGAGCCAGTGGTCCCAGATTGTGAGAGGGGTGTTTGACTGCCAGTTTAGGCCCGATCCCACATAGGGATCGGGTCTAAACCGGTGGTAAGACATCCCCTAGGGGTTCCCTGATTGGACTGGGTGCAGGCTGGGCTGAGGGAACCCACCCTTCGGTGCACGAATTTCATGCACCAGGCCTCTAGTGTGTGTGTGTGTGTAAAATTCATAATTCAAGATTATAAATGAATTAAACATTTAAAGTTTTCATTATGTCTCAGTTCAAGGACTGCACAAGTTAAAATTTGGTGAATGATTTACATTTGGTTATCTGAAACTCCCTTATCTCTTACATCTGCTTTCAATACAATTTGGCCTCCAGATGCATTTCTCCATCATATTTTCTTGCAAAAGCAAAATAGTGCTCTCCTGTTACTCCCTCCACGTGGTTGGAAAAAACAAATATGGGACTTGAATTTGGATTAGGAATTCCAGTATATCCGAGTCACTGATGAGAAAACCAACTAAAGCAGCTGTCGCCAACCTTTCAGACTTCACAGACCACCAGTTGTGTAAAGTATCCAACTGGTGTCTCAGGTATCGACTGTAAAAAAGTCACTTGAGGTATATAAGTACTGGATTAATCTAATATCTTAATGGCTTCCTGACAATAATTTCACAAAAATTTTTTTAAGTCAGCTTGTATTCTACACTTCATATTTTTAAAAATCTTCTAGTGGCATTTTCAACTCGGATTCCAATCCAAAGAACAGATCTCTCACCAAACCCAAGCTGTCCATTGCCAAACCAGTGTGCCTGGCATCACTTCTACCTGGCTGGTGTCAGCACTGGCCAAGTTGTTAGACAGAAGGTGAACTGTCACTTTTTGTGTCCTGTGAGAAGTTGACCTTTGCAAGTTTCCTCAGTACATCATGTTTTTCAGAATCATTCTCAAACTGAATCTTCACCCTGACTGCATTCTCTGAAGGAAGTTCTTGATCCTGGGAGGAGTCGTCATTTAGCTCATCTCTTTCCACCTTGGCTGGTGACCTGCTCATGTATGCCACGTGGGTCGTACTAATTGATAATGTGGCCTTTCCTATGAACCAGGAGGTCATGGATCGATTCCTCGTCAGGGCATGTGCCCAGGTTGTGGGCTCGATCCCCAGTAGGGGTGTGCAGGAGGCAGCTGATCAATGAAATCTCTCTCACTGATGTTTCTCTCCCTCTTCCTTCCTCTCTGAAATAAAAATACATTTAAAAAGTAGTAATGATGTGGTTCTTAGAGCATTGTAGTGACCCTTCAGTTTTCTTGGTTTCCAGTAGGTATTTTGACATACGGGCACGTTCCCAAAAATGGGAGATTATAGTTTATTTTCAGTATTGTTTCTGAGTGTAGCCGTAAGAAAAGACCGGTCAGAGAGAACCAAGATGGTGGGTATAACCTGAGTGCCGAATTTTCCTCTTAAGCACACATTAGTCATCCTGACTTACTAGTCTCTGGGATACTGTTCAGCCCTGTGTCACCTGAGACAGCAGCAAATCATCTGGACATTTATTTTTCTTTTTTTAAAAATATATTTTATTGATTTTTTACAGAGAGGAAGGGAGAGGGATAGAGAGTTAGAAACATCGATGAGAGAGAAACATTGATCAGCTGCCTCCTGCACACCCCCTACTGGGGATGTGCCCGCAACCAAGGTACATGCCCTTGACCGGAATCGAACCTAGGACCTTTCAGTCCGCAGGCCAAAGCTCTATGCACTGAGCCAAACCGGTTACGGCTGGATATTTCTGTTGCCTTTGCTAAGCAGTGGAGGCAATGAGTGAGCTCTCCTAGAACTCGGAGGGCCTGAGGCCCTGCCTCCGCTTCCTGAGTGGCAGCAGAAGCCTCAGCTCGGGCCCAGGGTCATAGGCTGCAGGGGCCAGGCGCTGGGCCTCCCACCGGGCAGACAGACGTACTCTGGGCCTCCATTCACACTGTGACCCGCAGCAAACCTCCTCATGAGAGTTCAACTCTTCCAACTAGTGCATCTGTCCTACCTTTAATCCAAAAGTTATTCATTATTGGTGGAATGCACATATTTGTTAAAATTAAATTTATTTAAATGAAAATACTTAAATGTATTGTGGCTCGTCATGGCCTTGGCAAATTGATGTGTTTAACTGCAGGTTTTAGAGCAGCCGTGGGCAAACTAAATGAATAAAACTAAAAAAAAGAGACCGTACCCTTTTATGTAATGATGTTTACTTTGAATTTATATTAGTTCACACAAACACTCCATCCATGCTTTTGTTCCGGCCCTCCGGTCCAGTTTAAGAACCCATTGTGGCCCTCGAGTCAAAAAGTTTGCCCACCCCTGTTTTAGAGTCTGCATTCTTAAGACTTTAAAAAAAAACTGCATAAAAATTCAAATATTAAATAAATCAAATCTTCCATTTAACAATTTAAATTCAGAGTCACACAATATAAGTATTACAATTTTATATATTCAGAACATTTTTGAAAAATGGATTTTCTGAAGCCATAGAGGTCTTAAATTGATTAATAGAATTAAAATATGCCTTTTAGAAATAAACTTGTAATTTGGAAACAATAATTCAATATGAAGTATTGAGAATCAAATATCAATCTCAAATGATATCAAAAAACTAATATATTTAAAGCTATATCAATAATGAGATCTATATGATCTTTGTAACTTTTCTATAAATCTAAAATTATCACAAAATAAAGTTATTTAAAACTCAAGATGAAATCATTGAATAAAATTAAGTCAATCATGTCGATTTAGCAATACCAGATAGAATGATTATGAAAAAACGGTAATGACAATGATGATAATAAAGAAATAACTATGCATGTCTTCTATGTTAGTAGGAAAACATGAAAAATAAGAGCAAATTACGTTGGCGTAAATGGCAAAGAACTTTACTTATTCCGTTTGCAGGGAAGTAGCAATGAAGTGCCATAGCGCGCCCCGGAGGTAATGTACACGATGTTACACATCAGCCCAGTAATGCCAACCTCAAGACGTGGGCCCAGAAGCCCACAGTAATACGTGCATTTCCAACGCTGCACAGGTGTTAGCTGTGAAAGCCACTGGCCTGGCCTGGAAGCCTAACAGTGCCCCAGGCGCCTCACGGGAAGTTCTGTCAGGGGTCCCTGTCCCGCACCAGGACTGGCGAGGAGGCCAGAGACCTGGAATTCCTCACCCGCCTCTACCAACTTCAAAGGCCCATGCAATACCTGGAGGTGAACACCACGTCTGATCCTGTAGATTTCAAAACTGCTTCTTTTGTTCCTGGTTACCACTGCTTCAATTTAAAGAAAGCAAGGCCGTACATGTTGGAAAACTGAAGGGGTTCTTCAGAAGCAGTAGCATAAAAGAGCCATCTGCCGAGACCACCAGGCCTGGCTTCCCCGTACATCCACAGGCCAGCACTTCCTACAGTGTGGTCCTTGGACCAGCGGGTCAGAAGCCAGAGCTCGGGCAGGTGTGCTGCCAAGTCCTGAAGGCTTCTGCTGCCCACTCGCATCAGAGCCACCGCCATCGGCCACAGCACGGCACTCAAATCTGCCGTCAGGAACCCTAAGTCAGAAACATCATTGCCCCGCCAGCGTGGCTCATCGGCCTAGGAACCAGGAGGTCACAGTTGGATTCCCAGTCAGGGCACATGCCCAGATTGTGGGCTCGATCCCCAGTAGGGGGCGTGAAGGAGGCGGCTGATCAATTATTCTCATCAGTGATGTTTCTATCTCTCCTCCTTCTCTGAAATCAATAAAAATATGTTTTTTAAAAAGAAACATTGGTTGCTTCCAGTCTAAATGAAATTCAAAAAGAACTTGAGGCCCTGACTGTGTGGCTCAGTTGGTAGAGCACTGTCCCCTGCACAGAAAGGTCACAGGTTCAATTCCTGGTCAGGGTGTATATACCCAGCTAGGGTGTCTACGGGAGACAACAGTTGATGTTTTTCTCTCAAATAGATGCTTCTCTCTCTTCCTCTCTCTCTAAACCAATAAAAAAAAGAATTTTCGTGTTGTGCGCAAAGCTGGTCAGTGTCAAGGCAGAACAGCCCAGTGTGTCTCAGAATTTCTTACCGGGAGGAACATGGAGCCTGTAGAGCAGTTTAATTTTCTCATTCATTTCTCCGTTATACATAGTGTCTGGGGGAGAGAGCAGATGCAAGCAGTTCACATACACTTGTCATAGAGAACTTCCTCCTCCCCTGCTCCCAGGCCCACTGTGTGCATGAGCATGTGAAGGGTGGTGACGGGTGACTGCTGAGCTGCCAGGGAGCCTCATGCCTTCCGAAAGCTCTTTTTACATGTAAGCATTAGGGACGCGGCTTCTAGCAAGTCCCCACTCCCCGGCGCCATGAGAACAGCTCAGTGACCTGGGGCCGAGAGCCTGGCCCCCCTGCAGGAGGCCAGAGACCTCAGGAGGAGCCTGCAGTGATTTTAAAAATCACAAACTTGTGTCAGGCCATTCACAAGGACATTCATCATTACTGCTACACAGTACACCTTGCACTGGGTTCACAGACTCACACCCAAAGCAACGTGCTGCGGTCAGCAGTCCTACCGAGGCAGCTGGCAAATGCTTTGAATTCGATAAGATGGTCCATGTTGTCGTCCAGGAGCCGGAAGGTCCTCTCAGCGAGGATCTCCGTGTGTGCCCCGCAGGTCCATGGCGAGACCAGCTGGAACAGGCGTGCAAACTGCCGGCTGTCTATGCGGTACTGCTCGGCGTAGGGACGGCTGGGGTCGTGGCGGGCAGGCCCGGGCCGCGGCTGCTCCCAGTAGCAGCTCATCATGTGCTCCCGCTGAAAGCAGAGGGGCCACAGCTGGAGACATTCCCTGCCTTGTCAAATCATTACTATTGAATACACAACATTGTAACACAAATGGAAAAATTAAGTCACGGTCTCACCACTCTGACCAGACATGTGAAGTTTTTCCTTGCTACCATGTGAGTGTAATTTGGACACCCTTTTTTATTAAGGTTTTTCTTCTTTGTAGCAAATGTATTTATAAAATTTACCATTTTAACCATTTGTAAATGTACAGTTCAGCTACCATAGTTTTGATTATAGAGGACATGCAGTGTTTCATTTGTGTTTATGTAACCAAAGTTACAGGATACAAAAGGAGCAACGCTTGGTTACCTGTCAGAGGGAAAATGGGGGCAGGGAACCAAATGTGGAAAAACATACTGTTTTATAGGTTCTAAATGTTCAATCACATGAATATATTAACAATTCAAAAAAGTCAAAGTAGCCGTAACCGGTTTGGCTCAGTGGATAGAGCGTCGGCCTGCGGACTGAAGGGTCCCAGGTTCGGTTCCGGTCAAGGGCATGTGCCTTGGTTGCGGGCACATCTCCGGTGGGGGGTGTGCAGGAGGCGGCTGATCAATGTTTCTCTCTCATCGATGTTTCTAACTCTCTATCCCTCTCCCTTCCTCTCTGT